GCCTGAGGCCTGAGGAGAGCAGTAGTTTGCCAAAATGTAGGAGTCTAAAAGTTCCCCTCCGCTGTGATAAGGGGTGTCGAGGAGGGGTGGCTCCTTAATTAGGAACAAGATTTTGGCCATGGGTGTAGAGGCCGAAGCACAAGGAGACGACCACTCCCAGAAAACACTATGGCAGCTCCCCTTCTGGTACATTTACAACATGAAGTGGGCAGGAGAGATGGTCATGGAGCCACCACAACAGGCATAAAGATTTCAACAGCGTGTCAGTGGTATTGTTAGATGAAATAATTAAATTATGTAATTGTGGGAGAGACCAAAAGAAAGCAACATGGAGAACATGAAAAGACGCATGTACATGCTGATTTAATTATTTAGCTAAGCTAAATTCATTTCGAATATTTGATATTTTTCAATGTTATAACTGTTTAACGCTATGAATAATAATCTTTAAATGTACAATGGGGCTAATATATCTTTGTTGTAATGTATTTTTTATAATTTATTAAATTTTTGGAACAATAGTTTTTTTAATATGAAATTTAGGTTAAATAAAAGCATAAACGTCACCTAGCTACATTGGTTCCTCTCATCAGGAGAAAGGCAGCCTAAAAAATAAAAAAAAAGAATTAGATATGTGTAACGATGTTCATCTTCAGCCATGGGTGCGCTGGTAGTAAAGGCGGGAAAAAGATTCGGAGGCTGTTCTGAAACTTTAACATCAACTTCTTTATTTGTAACAGCATTTAACTCAACAGAATCAAACGGATCTAGTAAACTTATTTCTGGTAAAAGTTTGTACTTCTTGACTCGAACATCTGGGGGTCTTCCTGATTTCCGTCAAAAGGGCGCTGGGCCAAAACTCTCCCCATCTCTCAGGGGGGGCACTCCGCACCGCGCAGACCGTCCCACAACACGGGAGCCGAGCCCAGTCCCCCTCTGGTGGTTTCTGTTGAAAAGAGGGACCAGATCGGATCACCCTCCTCCCCCCAGGATGATTTCTGGGGTAGACGACCACCGTCCATTCTAGCGGATTGTATCCTCATCCCTTCACTCCGGCTAGTGAGGGATTGGGTAACAATCTTCTTCCCAGCTGTAAATTAGGGAAGTCCTTTAAGATCCTGGACGCCTCTCCATAATCATGCATAGTTTCTATTTGTACCCCACGACTTAGTTTTTCCCAGTTCCCCATCCGTGGCTAGTCTGAATACTCGCGCGTTTTCCTTTCCTTTTATATCCTCCCACAGTATCAAGTCCAACTCCTCCCCTCCTTCATCTGCCAAACACACTTCTGCCGGTTTCCCAGGTATCACTTCCTCCTGATCTATCTCCACTAATATTCCTTCCACACATCCGCTTTCCGTTATGGTATCCTGTTTCTCTGAGGACGGCACACTGTCCTTCTCGCCTTCACAATATGGCATCAGCTTCACTCATTCAATTTTCTAATTATAGATAGTAGAATAAAATGACAAAATGTCTAACGATAGAATTAATCACTGTGAGTGATAAATAACTTACTCTTCTGCCCCAAAGAAGGATGATACCAAGCCTCATCGTCTCCTTTCTCTTCCTCTTACATTTGCAGTTCAATTATGTATGTAACTCTTCGTCTTCTCCACAGATACCTGGAAGAATTCACATTTATGTGGAAAGTGTAGGACTTCTTTTATGCCCCGGTTGGACGATACAAGACATAAGGCAACCCACGGAGAAGAGAAACGAAACATCAGCAAAAAACCCTATGAATGCATTATGTGTGGAAAGCATTTTGCAGAAAAAAAGGCCCGTGTGCATCCAAAGAGTGATCTCAAGTTGCATCTTACAAACTCCTTACGAGACCGTCCGGGAGAGAAACCGTACCAATGTCAGGAGTGTGGGAAATGTTCTACGTGGAATTCAAGACTCTTAATGCATCATAGAATCCATTCAGGAGAGAAACCATACAAATGCCAGGAGTGTGGGCAATGTTTTTCTCAGAATTCTCACCTTTTGATGCATCAAAGACTTCATACAGGAGAGAAACCATACAAATGTAAGGAATGTGGAAAATATTTTACTCAGAATTCAAGCCTTTTGATGCATCAAAGAGTCCATACAGGAGAGAAACCATACAATTGCCACGAGTGTGGAAAACGTTTTTCTTATCGGGCACAGCTTAGGACTCATCAGCAAGTCCACACAGGAGAAAAACCATACAAATGCCTGGAGTGTGGGAAATGTTTTACTCAGAATTCTAACCTTTTGATGCATCAAAGACTACATACAGGACAGAAAACGTACAATTGCCAGGAGTGTGGAAAACGTTTTACTTCAGGGTCAGACCTTAGGACTCATCTGCGGGTCCATACAGGAGAGAAACCCTACCATTGCCAGGAGTGTGGAAAACGTTTTCGTTATGGATCTTACCTTAGGATTCATCAACAAGTCCATACAGGAGAGAAACCCTTCAAATGCCAAGAGTGTGAGAAATGTTTTCTTCTCCGGGCAGACCTTGTGTCTCATGAGAAAGTCCACACAGGAGAGAAACCCTACAAATGCCGGGACTGCGAGAAACAGTTTGCTCGCAAAACAGCCCTCGTGTGTCATCAGAGAGTCCACTCAGGAGTAAAACCATACAAATGCCTGGAGTGTGACAAATGCTTTGCCAGGTCTTCAAATTTAGTAGACCATAAAAGAATTCACACAGGAGAAAAACCCTTCAAATGTCAGGACTGTGGGAAATACTTTGTTCGCAAGAAAGCCCTCGTGTGTCATCAGAGAGTCCACTCAGGAGAAAAACCATACAAATGCCTGGAGTGTGGGAAATGAAATGCTTTGCTAGATCTTCAAATTTAGTAGATCATAAAAGAATTCACACAGGAGAAAAACCCTTCAAATGCCAGGAGTGTGAGAAATGTTTTGTTTCCAAGGCAGATCTCGTGTGTCATCAGAGAGTCCACTCAGGAGTAAAACCATACACCTGCCTGGAGTGTGGCAAATGCTTTGCTAGATCTTCAAATTTAGTAGATCATAAAAGAATTCACACAGGAGAAAAACCCTTCAAATGCCAGGAGTGTGAGAAATGTTTTGTTTCCAAGGCAGATCTCGTGTGTCATCAGAGACTCCACTAAGGAAAAAACCTTACAAATGCCTGGAGTGTGGTAAATGCTTTGCTCAATGTTCAAACTTTGTGAACCATGAAAGAATTCACACTCAAGAAAAAGGATACAAGCCCCCACAGTGTGAGATATCCCTGCATTCATTTCTTTATTTTACCGTTACCACATCTTCATCCCAATAAAGGAGGGCTGTTCCTAAAGCAGCTAATGTTTAAAGTTAAAAGTTACATTTCAGTTAAAAGTTACATTGATGATGTAATATATCTGAAGTATTGTGTAGTTCTGGATTTATTTTTTGATGTTTCTAAATTAAATTAAAATAGTATCTACTCTTGGTCCATTGTCTAAAAATTACTAATCTCATCAGTACTAGTGCAAGACTCACAGGGAATATATATCTTGCATAAAAGAGTTTTACGGCCAATAAAATTTAATCACACTTGCTTTGGATTGGGGTTTGCCGGGTACAGTTAAAAGTTACATTGATAACGTAATATATCTGAAGAACCATGTGTTTTTCTGGATTTACTTTTGGATGTTTATAAATTAAAAAACGTATCTACGCTAGGGCCATTGTCTAACAATTGCTAATCTCATCAGTACTAGTGCAAGACTCACAGGGATTTTATGTCTTACTTAAAAGAGCTTTACTGCCTGTCAACCCTTGGGAGCCACTCAGTTAGTTGAATATTGTTTCAATATGCCTTTGTTGTTAATACCAAAACTTCGCTAGTAGAAAAATTAGAAATGTTTTATTACTTAAAGTTGGGAAAGGCAAGCAAACAACCAGTCTCCAACAGACAAAACAGAGGGAACACTCAGCAGAGAGATGAGGCTGTCTCTAAATTCAGAGGTGGGAAGGAATGACTGGCCAGCGATGGATTGATTGACAGTTGCCTTAGCCTAGAAAGGTCCATCCCACCCAAACAAACTGCAGGCAGCATGTGAGGTTGTAAAACTACAACAATAACTGCCCGTATTCCTTAGCCATGGCTAGGCCAACTCAGGCTGATGAAATTCACGGC